TAGTAGGACGGGAGGGCTGGATAGAGTATTTATATTGTAAGCTATGGAAAATATAGAAAGGTCAATGAGTTCTAATGATCTGGTACAGAAAGGTAGCCAGGAAGTACTGACGGCGATAGGATGGATAGAGCCACTTCAACTTAGTGTAATACTGGGTAATATGGGTATCTCTTGAGATTCCGAAAACAAAACGTAATGCGCAATTCATTAGGCGTTTAAGTTTGGCCTCGAGACCTCCTGAGAGTCCACCGTACACTATACAGCCATAGTCGAAGTGGAGGAAAACTAGGAGTTGGTGGGACTTATATGGAAGGAGATAACGTAGGCGATTGAACTGTTTTAGGGTGGAGATAGTGCTACGGGAAATTTGGGAGATGTGCGGTTTCCAGGAGAAGGTTTGATCAAAAGTGACACCCAAGTTTTTAACGGTGGTGTGGAATAAGATAGGTGAGTTGGTCAGGAGAAGATTGAGGAACGTCGGAAAGGATTTTAGGAGTGTGGGAGATTCAATCAAGATGGCTTTCGTTTTCTTAGCGTTCAGAATGAGCCTGTTGAGGTTTGCCCGTTCTCTTATTCTATTAATATCTTCTTGGATTTTTAGAATGGAATCTGAGGAACTGGTTGGATTAAAGGAGAGGTAAATCTGAACGTCGTCAGCATACAAGTGATATTGATAGTGCAGGATTGAGGATGGGAGGTCATTTATATAGATGGAAAAAAGGGTAGGGGATAGGGAAGTAGATATTCAGACGGGGGGCTATTAGGTATTACAACATACTGGGAGCGACCGGTTAGGAAGGATTGGAACCAATTAAGAGCACTAGAAGAAAAGAATATATTTTTGAGTTTGGTTAGGAGGATGTTGTGGTCTGCTGAATCAAAGGCTTCAGAGAAGTCAAGGAGAATAAGGATGGTTAGTTTCTGCTGATCTATGGCTGTATGTAGGACTTGAGAAATTTTGATTAGGGCAGACTAAGTGGAGTAGCCAGACCTGAAGCCGGACTGGTAGGGGTTTAGGAGATTATTGTGTTCTAAAAAATGGAATAGCTGGGATTGGGCTAGTCGTTCCAAAGGTTTGGAGAGGTTTGAAAGAGGGGTATTTGGACGGAAATTATTAAGATTGATGGGTTACAGGTCTTCTTCAAGGCTACTAGGGCGGTTTTCCAGGATGTAGGGAAGGTGGCATTTTGAAAAGAATAATTATAAATATGATAAAGGATTGGATGGTAGTGCGGCTTTGATCATTCTGACGGACCATAATCGTTAGTATGGCATTTCTGAATGGAATTTAGGAGATCATCAGGGGTAATGTGGCGAAAAAATAAGTGATCAGGACTAAAAGAGGAAAACATGGTAGCCGGATCGGACGCAGGAGTTGTGGTTGCGAAAGGGCAGGAGAAAAAGGGAGCGTTGAGGTTTTCAGCAGAAACGGAAATAGACTGGGACTGAGGTTTATTACCAATGGTCAGTTTCCTGATAGTAGTCCACGTGGCCTTGGTATTAAGGGAGTTAGATAAGGTATGATGGTAGTAACGGGATTTAGCACGGCGTACCGCTGATTGAGTGCGGTTTCGAAGCTGTTTGAAGGAGAGAAAATGTTCATGAAGTCAGTTCGTTTAAACCGTCGCCTTGAAGCATCTCTTCCTCTCATACACTCTCTCAAAGCAGGAGTAAGCCAAGGAGCGGGAGGATGTCGTATGGTTTTTGTGATAAGAGGAGCATGTTGGCCGAGGATAGAGTGAAGATGAGAGGTGAGGGTTTCTACCATGGAGTCGATGGATTTTGAGGAGTAAATGGAACCCCACTGGATATCGTCAAGATCTTTTGACAGTGTTTCGCGAGTAAAGAAATTTATGTTTCGGAAGGATATTGTTCGGGGAGAAAAGGATGGGACAGAGATATTATAAGAGATCTGGATAAGGTCGTGGGAAGATAGAAACGGGACCGGGTGTTGTGATGCGGCAAGGAGTTTGTCTGTGGACGAGGTGGCCGAATGGGTTAACGCGTGTGCACTGCACCGCCGTTGCCCGGCAACCTGATAAATGAATCAAAGATATAAAAATAGACACGAGTTCGCGTCCCCGCGTACACCCACTGGCTCGAGAAAATCGCGTATAGCCTTAACGGCGAGGAAGGGAAGGACATAAAAAAAAAGAAAAAAAAAAAGGAGTTTGTCTGTGGAATCTAGGATAAAAATAGATCGAGCCAGGACTCCGATAACTGAGTATGTTAGGTATGGTTGTAGGGTACTATGTATAGTCTGAGAGAATGGAGGAGGTTTGTTAGGTAGAAATATTCGGAGGATGGCATTAGTAGATTGGTAATGAATTCTCCGGAAAGGATGACAATTGAGTAGGAAGGGATTAAATTGTACAGAGAAGACTCAAATAGTTCATCAAAAGGAATTCTAGGAGGGCGATATATGACAGCAAACAGGATGGACAATGAAGTTGTGAGAATTTCGGCAAAGAGGTATTCAATGTGCGGTGAATTGGTTGAGGAAGAGCTATGAAGGATTTTGGATTTAAGGATGTCATGGACAAAGAGGCCTACTCCACCATCCCTACGGTGTACTGTGTCATGACCAAGGAGAGTATAGTTAGATAAAAGGATCTGGGAAGACGGAATTGTGGGTTTCAACCAGGTTTCGGATAGGGCAATTAAATGGTAAAAGTTATGGAGAAAAAGTCATAAAATTCGTCAAAATGGGTTAGGAGTGACTGAGCGTTGACATGGCAGGTTAAAAGGATATTACTCTGTAATATATAATATACGTATAAATATATATATATGTATTAAAATATTAATTTTAGGCTATTAATAAAGCAGAGTATTATAGAAACATAGAATGAAACAAAATTCAAATATTACATGATATAAAACAACTTAGGAATAAATATAATTGTTTTAGTGGAGGGAATTGATGTCATTGACTGGAGAGGGGGGGAGGAAGTTATGTCTAAGGCTGGCACTGTTACCTTCCACTTACAATATTACACTTTTTTTTTATTGGAAAGATATTTCTCCCTCATCAAGGATCAATTCTATCTTTTGCTCAGGCCATCAAAGGCAAAGTTTCTCAAGAGTCAATTCTTGGACCTTAGCTGTATATTGCAGTCATGAATCTAATAATTTCTCAAAACACAATTATAGCAACTTGAGAACTATTCTTTATACATAATACACTAGAAAAGAAAGTATCACATTCAAGCTTAAATTTCCAACACAACCAAAAACAATGAAAAAATGAATAGTACCAAGATCCCAAGCATATCATTTTCACCTCAGACATGACATCAACCCCCTATTTAGTAGGCCACCAACCTATTCAAGAGACTTACTCAGTCCATTACTCAGGAATACATGTTAACAGAACGATAAGCTGAGGCCTACTTGTGAAACAGGAAGTATCAGTGCATTAACAAGTATGACTACTGTCACTTATTGTTCTTAATTGATCGAATCTTAAAATCAGACTACGGATGTATCTTTATAACTACTTTATACATCCATTATGGATCTATACATTAGACAATTTTCTGGATTCTCAATCTATAATATAAACTTTTTGATAAAACGCGCTAAGATAGCCTGATGCACTGATGCTCCTTCTATGTTCATCTATGATGCCCCACTAACATGCTTGGTTGTCAAAGACCCAATAAATAGACTGATAACGGTATCAACTAATTTTCAAGAGAGAGAAGTGTAGTCGGATGGTTTTAATAGTTGTGAAGAGTAATTTTTAAACGCAACGATATTTCGTTTTGCTTTTTCGATGTAGGTTTCAGAAATTCAGTTAGCTAAATATTGGATTTTATTCGGATTCAACACGCTCAACTGCTATACTATGAAGAAGCATATATAAAACCTTCTAAGCTGGTTCCCCCTCCCCTTCTCCGGGTGAACCCATTATCTTATTTGTTTGTGTAATACCCGCAGTGGTGATATAAAAATATATCCTCATCGTAAGTATGCAAGATACCCCTAGCATATGAATAGCTATAGCAAAACACCTTTTAACAGTAAGATGGGATAAAATAAATAACAGTGTCTTAAGAAGTATCCCTCATAAGAACATTTTTAATAGTAGAAAATGATCATTTGTGTCAACTCATCTAGTTGTTCTCCATGATATTATATCTCATTTCTAATAAACGTTTTGGAGGAAAGCCTAAACAATGCTTATGAGCATATATATTTATATGCTGTTACAACTTTAATGTTAGACACTACTCGAGGTCTAACAGGCTCGCACTGTACGGTTTCGTTATCGGAGGATCTTTCATCGTAAAAATCCGCGAGGATTTTTTTATAGCAGTCCTAACCACTTTCCGATCACGTTAAAGCTCTGTGCTAGGATATATTCTGTTTATGGTTTTCATATCGTCAGTAGTCTCACTCAAACATCCGAGAGCGGTGGTAATAGCTGAAGCTAATGACGTTGAAATCAAAGGCTCCAGTACTAATCCTCATCGGTCCCTTATTCTCGTGTGAACGTTTCAGATACCATCTGAGAATCCCTCAAGAAGGATGGCAGTGATAGATGAAAGTATGCGCAGGATTCATCTTTAGAGTGATCACCCCTCCTTCTATACCGAAGGCAGAATAGCACTATCCTCTTGAAAGATATAATCGCCGGGAGTAAAAGTCACGGCCGTTCAGCTTAAATCTCATTTCAAACACACAGGCTAACGACAGCCCTATGCTATCAAACCTATCTTAGAATATCAAAAGGAAAAAAAGGATATACCTGTTTCTTGTACTTATATGATTTCATATATATCGCAGTATAATCATGTTAGAGAGAAAGAAAAAAACATGGTATTATTACAATTAATCAAATTATTACCTTCTAGATGCTGAAGTAGGGTTCATAAAAAATAATATTTCTAAACAAATATTTACTAGCACAAATCAAATAATAAAACCTCGATGTTCATCTAAAAACAATAATTATCGATATTACAACGTTACCTTCAAACTTTACAGTGACTTGTTGTTGTTTTGACAGCTAACTTATTTGGTTTCTACCATCCAATTAAGTAAGGTCATGTTTGTAAAATTCGTAATGTAATGCGAAATTCGTTTTCGATTTTCAGTTCAGTTTTTGTTGATTAATAGTTTTGGTTGATAGTTTATTAATAACAAAATATAATCATCTATTGTTTCCCATTATTAGTTTGTTTCTTATCAGAGCTTTGACAGAGTTTGTTTTAAGCTACTTTTAATTATGTAATTTAGAAGAAAATATCTTGATGCTTTTTTAACCACCTATATTTCAGTTGGAACATATAATTTTTACTTTTCAACTTGAAATCTTTACTTCCTGGAATGTATGTTGATCACATTGTTTTTGTGGAATTTATATATAAACTAATTAATAATGGATTTGAAGAAATGGAATATTTTTTCATTACTGGAAAATGACTTTAATTTGGAAGTTAAACTTGCATGTGTTTTTGGTGAGTACTTAGTTATTTTGATAAAATATTGACATGTTTGACAGTAGATGATTTTTTCCTTAGTCTTAGATATATTTTTAACGAATTGTATGGTATTAATATTTTTCTATTTTAGTGCTTATTTGCTAAGTCTTCTTAATGCTTTTTATTTATTATGAAGACTTACCAATTCACAACATTCCTTTAAATGAACTATTTAATGTTATTTATATAATATATGTATATTATATTATAATAAAGTATATTGACAAATTGTTTTTTTCACTTAACCAAATTCAGTGAAATCTCAGTAATCCAAGCTAATTGCTTTAGAGGTTTATTCAAATTATAGAGGGTGTTTGAACAGTTTGGATTAAAGAGGGTCTTTGGGTAAACTACTAGCATTAAAACATTAAAATTCATTAAATACATATTATATTGTTAACTGGATATATACTATTATTCTCACTAGAAAAAATTGAATTCTATGTAAATGCAAACATTTTGTTTAAAGAAATGTCTGTTTCAACTTTTAGAAGCTCTTCCTCACAGGTTTTTATTATTAGACATTGTAGGAGAAAGATTTGTTAACACAGTTTATAAACTAAAAACGATAGATTCGTTTTTGAGCCTACAAATAAGCTAAGAAAGTAGCTGCAAATTCAATTTCGTAGGCAATTCTCATCAGTTAGATATTTATTCCTGAAAAAAAATTTCCATTTAGTCATATTTTTTTGGGGCAAAATCAGGTTGGTAGGGTGTTCAGGCTATTAAAGTTCAGATTACTGAGATTGTCACTATATTATTATATTGTTACTTTATAAGCAAATAAAATTTTTTGTTTTTTAACATTAGGTAATCAAGGAAATGAAGCCCTACTTGTTATGAAAAATGATGATGTTTATGCTCTTGGTGTGAATTTATCTGGATGCTTAGGACTTGGAACTAATAATGGCACCTTGCATCCTCAGAAAGTTCAAGCTCTTTGCAAAAAAGGAGTGATAGGTTTTATTTTATTTTAATAATGTCCTATTTAGGTCAAACTATATAAAACTATCTCTTTATCTTCAGTACTATAAGATTAACTATACTACTTATTAACTATATTTTAATTGATATGGGTTCCAAACACTAGCAGATCCAGCCGGAGGGCACACACCTCTCCCCTTGAGGCTGGGAAAAATTCCAAAAAAAGTTTCAAAAAGCAGCTACTTAAAGAAATGAGAAATATAAGAAAAAAACATCCTCATACACCATGAATTTACTAATATATTTAAAAAAAAATTTATTATCGTGACCAGCAATAGCGAGTTCTGCCAGGGGGCGCGCCCCTCCCATTATGCTTTTAATACGCTGGATATCCTCTTTCCGTTTCATCACATTCTTATCTGATATTGTCTAGAGTGGGCATAGGCATGATTAATAATAATTGTTTAATATTATTTTTTATTCATTTCATATAATTTATATCTGTTCCCATTATTACTTTAAAAAACAAAGTTCATTAAAATTATAGATAGATGCAATTAAAAAAAATTGAAATAATCGCCAACAATTAAGAATTATGCACTGAAGTGATCTTGTTATTCAGATCAACCAGGTCTGTTCATGCCATTAGGCATTCGGTATTAGGACACCCATTTTCATTGTGCTGTCAATGCATGATGCAGCCAACCTATGCCATCACCAGATTGTGAGACGCTTTGTATGGACTAAGACTAAGCCTATATTTGTAACCAAAATTGAATAGGAATCATTTTGATTATATGATAATCATTTTAAGATATATAAATTAAACACAATGCTCAGATGCTCAGACATACAACAGAGTGATTCATATAACTGGTGTTTGTTCCCACATGTTGGGTGTTATAATGAGCCACTTATAATTATACTATTTATTTTGCTGAATTAATGCATTTTCACAAATATTATTTAGGCTTTGCTTATGGTAGTGGCCCTCATGTTATCTGTTATACTTCATTGGGTGAAGTATACGCTTGGGGCCATAATGCATATTGTGAGTTGGCCAATGGCACAACAACACAGTCTTCAAATCCTATGAAGGTTGAAGTTTGCCTTTCAACCAAAGTGGTTGTTGAAGTTGCTTGCGGCAGTCATCATTCAGTTGTATTGACCAATGAAGGAGAAGTAAGTAAAATACTGATAAGTTAATCTTTTTTTTCTGATCTTCCAGTTTATTTTTCAACAATTAATAAATATATATATATATATATATAATATATATATATATATATATATATATATATATATATATATATATATATATATATATGTATCCGAAAGCAGTGAAACATTCCATAATGTTTTTAGGTTTATGCTTGGGGCCAAAATAAAAGTGGTCAAATCGGATCTGGTATGAATACAAATCAGGGTTCTCCAAGAAGAGTAAATTCTTCAATTGGAGGAAAATTTATTATTGGTATTGCTTGTGGGCAAACATCAACGATTGCAGTAACGAATAATGGAGAGGTATACAAAATATCAATGTTATGCCTCATAGAATTTAAGATATTTCTTATATATTTAGTGGCCCTACCTACTTCCCGCCGACTATATTTCCTTGGATCTTTCCTATTCCAACTTCCGACACCCTTCCTACATCTACAGTCTTCTGCAGTTGAAAACCGTGGTCCACTCCCAGAAAATAAGATCTCGTATTTCTGACCTTTATACCCCTTCCCATATAACTAAGACATTTGAATATTCCTTTATTGCCTGATTTACTGTATTTTGGAAGTCCTTGCCATCTGATACCTCATTCAAATATCATCTCTACCAATTCCTTCTCACATCCCAAAATGACGTACAATGAAATAAATGTTATGAATCACCTTTTGACTGAGGTGAATGGTTATTGACATTGTATGAGTTTTAATTTTAAGAATCAACCCATAGTGTTTATATCAGTTTGTTTTTTATTTCCCCTAATTTCTGTTTTTCTTTTTATTTTAATAATGTTTGATTTTTTCAAAATGGTTTTACTTTTTTTGTTATTTGTTTTAATATATTTTCATTGAAGATATCGTATATATATTCTTTAATTTTGATTAATGCAATTTTTGGCCAGATGTGGTTTTTATTTTTTGTTCATAATAGTTATTCTTAAGGGACCTCATCCCAGAATAAAGTTTATTTTCTATTCTATTCTATTATTTAAATTACTGTATATATTGTTAGAATCCTTATTAAATTAGTTTTTAGCCAGATATTTATTTTCTTTTGTATTTGTTCATTATTGTTATTCTAAGGAGACTTAGTCCCAGAATAAAGTTCAATTTTCTATTCTACATTTTTTAAGCTTTTGCTCATAATTTGTTTTTCAAAAAATAGTGCAATTTCATAAAAAGTACATTTATTATATTTCTCCCCTCTGAGACTGAATATGATCATAAAATAACTGAGTAATCATTGTTTTGTTTTATGTCTACCATCTATTTTTATCTCCCTATTTTGAAATATTGCACAGTATTTTGGTAATATGATATAAAAGTGAAATACGAAGCTTTGTTATTCAAAACTGCAAGTTTTTAATATAATGATTTTATTATTTATACTCTCTCACAATAATAACATTTTTTTTTTTTTAAATATCCACATCTTACTGCTTGATCATAATTTACGCTTGATATTTAATTATAATGAATGACAAATAAATAAGAAATGTATGAATAAGAAATGAATTTATTTTATCTTGGGTTTAGATACTTTTCAATGTTTTATTAATTTAGGTTTGGTATATGTTTTTCCACAGGTTTATGGATGGGGCTATAATGGAAATGGTCAGCTGGGGAATGGAAACAATGTGAATCAATTAAATCCTTGCCGGGTAATGGCATTGAGCAATATTGTAATTGTGAAGGTAAAAAAAAGTAATTTAATTTGTTTTAAGTATATTTCTTGATCCAGGAATGCTGGCAAAAATTTTTGTAATAAATATGAAAAAAAAAAATACATTTCCACAATGTGGATATTTTACTTATATCATAATTTAATTAAAAGAATGATTTATTTTATTATCAATTGCCTGTAATGTTAAGGATTTATCTTTATTAAAATGTGTTTCGATGAGTAACGATAAATTTTAGGAGTACAATTTAATTCAATTTGGCCTTGCATGGTTTTTTCAAAAAAAATAATTCTTGTTACGAGATAAAGTATACAACTTAGAAGAAAAAATATATTGCTGCCTCCATATTAGTAGATAATGGAGATTATATTATCAATAGCTTCTAGTAATTATTTTAGTGATGTAGTTACATTACATGCTATAAGCAAACCAAGTCATTTTCTTTTTATATCCTTTATTCCATATGTTGAAATTATGTTCGATAAGTACCAAGATATATAATTGAAGTTGTAATTACTATTCAGCAAAATATAACTAATGCACTTTGTTATGTTCATGTACTATTCAAAGAAGTACCTACAGTGGTATGAACATCATTAGTGGATTCTTATTAACTAATAAATCATTTTATGCTATATAAATAGGTGAAAATTTTGATGAAATATTGCTGAGAAAATGTTAGAATTGTATTTATCATTATTTCCTAGGTGGTCTGTGGATGTTCACATACTTTAGCTTTGTCAGATGAAGGTAAAGTATATGCATGGGGCGCCAATTCATTTGGTCAGCTGGCTTGTTTAAATAGAACGAATTTTTTCTCACCAGAACAAATTCTTGAGGATATCGGAAGGTAAATAATTTTTCCTAAATAGTTTTCCCTTCAATCAAATATTTCAGTTTCATCATTTTTAATATAATACATCATTTTTAAGGATTGTTGACATTGCTGCTAGTCATTACTGTAATATTTCTGCTGCTATGTCACAAAACTCTAAAGTATACATGTGGGGCCAATGTAGAGGTATATTATATTTTTAAAAATTAACTTCCTTTATAAATATATGTTAGCAATTTAATCAGTATCCAAGCAATTATCAAATCTATCCAATCGACTAACTATTTTATATTGTAATTTCCAATAAAAAAATGGATAAATACATACTATGAAAGATTTTGATCATGAGGAGAAATGAGGGTTGGTAAAATAGGACTGAGTGTTAACAAAGGCAACTAGCATAACATACTCCTATATTTTATATTTAATATCCTTTATATTTTAGTTGTTACTTGTGGTGAAATAAATTTCATCAATGCTTAAAAAGGAAGGCTTTGGACACATTGAAAAAAGAAAAGATTTGCTTGGTTAAAAAGTAACTTTAGCTAATAGTTAAACAAAATTTTTGATACTCTTGTCAAAAATAACAAAAAAAAAAAAAAAAGGAATAGTTATGAACTAAAAAAGAATTCTTTGATTAAAATGAAAAAAGGAAGAAATATTTTCCCATACTAGAAAAAAAACTTCCGGAAATAAAATAGTATTACAGATCTATTAGAATTAGAAGACCAATGATTTTAGAAAAAATATCTATATTATACACTCGTAAAAGGTAATTGATAGGGATGAAAAATGCATGAATTTTTCAGATAGATAGATAGATAGATAGACTCAGATTAGAGGGTTGAAAAACTTATGGTAATTGACAGCTTTTAATGAATATATTGTACCACCTAGAATTTTTGCAATCACTGACCTATTTATGAAAATACTCATTTATACTCAAAGCAGGATATTAAGTGAAGGTTGTGTAATGTGTGCACCGCATTAGATCTTTTAAAATTCACAACCTAATGAATCGGTTAAATTATGAATTACTTAATAACATTTTATTTGCATATAGCTATATTTAATTTCTTTAAATAAGACTGTATATTGTAATTAATTTTTAGGTCAAATTGTTTTGCAACCTATTTTAACACCATATAATAGTCTTCATGAAGTTTTCGCTTGCTATTCTACCCCCTCAATTACATATAAACCACTAACTGTGGCCTGGGATCATGGGACCAAAGTGTATGACAGCATCAAATCATCATTTGATGACCAGGTTTGTGATATCTTTGTATTTTCATTTTCATCTTTGCAATTTTAGAATAACCGATCAGGATTGAATCCACTCTTAGTGATTAAGTGCCCATAAATCACAAATAAAAATTTGTTTATTTAAGTAAAACGTTTAAGATTATAACATGTAGTTATTACTCATCATACATCATACAAATCATGCATCATATTATTTCAATTTAATTTAATCTTAATTAATTATTTATAGTTACTTTTTTAATTTTATTTATAGAGCACAAGTGATCTCATTATTCGTGTTGAAGGTAAAGATATATATGTTCACAAAGCATTATTAAAAATACGATGTCAGCATTTTAGGTCTATGTTCCAGTATAATTGGCAGGAAGACTCAAGAAAGTAAGTTTTTTTATTTTCCTTTATTTCTTCCTCAAAACAAATATTGTAATATAAAATTAGGTATCAGTTTTTTTATTAATAAAAATGTTTTATAGTGTTCTGGAGATAGAGCAGTTTTCTTATACAGTTTACAGAGCTTTTCTGAGGTACCTTTATACAGATCAGGTTGATTTACCACCTGAACAAGCATTAGGCAAGTATTAATAATTAAAAATAAATTTTAAAGCTTAAATGTATTAAAAAAATATACAGTATATCGTTGTGTTCAGTAAAAAGGTGTGAATGAAACTAAAAATTGTTGATTTATACAATGACAAATCATCTTTTAGGAGAGCATAATTTATAATACTTTTTTGAAATTGATGTCATAGATATATATATATATATATATATATATATATATATATATATATATATATATATATATATATATATATATATATATATGTAGGTAATCAAAATGCAACATTGAAAGTGGATAGATGACCGTCCACCTAGGAAAGCCACGCTACCCGAGACTATCTTCTCTCCCTTCTGGATTCATCCCATTCGAGGCAACTCATACCGACCGGGTGTAGCACTGATGACCCTAACCTGTGTACTTAAATCGGGTATTGGGATATGGTTTACCGGGATGTCAGTAGCCCTCCTGAAGTTTGGTTCATGGACCGTCTGTTTCGGTGAAAGAAAATAGCCATAATCCATGGTTCTAAACTTATTTGTCACTGTCCTTGAACCCGAGTGAGTCGGTGGGAAGGACACTGCCAGATTGGCCCTAAAGGGATTGGCTATAGAGCTTCTGGTGGCCAGAGATAGGCAAATGCTACTCTGAGTACCGAGTACTAAGTATTTTACTCAATTGAATCACTATTGGGAATTCAATCACTATTTCAATTAATTTTTTGACATGAGTAGCTGCCTCTGACCATCTTGTCCAACGGTCCCTGTTCTGTCCTGTGCAAGCCGGCATGGTGCTTCCTCTCGCTTTGCCAATTCTCTCAATCAGGTTTGCATACATAAGCCTTGGCTTGCCCTTTAAGTCGCCTTCCTCCCGGTCTTGCTTCTAGAAGCCACCTGACTTTAAGGTCATCTCCCATTCTGTTAACATGCCTATACCACTTCAACTGCCTTTCTTCAATCGTCTCTAGGACGGTTCTAACTCCTAGTTCATCTCGCACCCTTTCATTCCTTATTCGTTCTCGCCTAGTTTTTCTTAATATTTTCTGTATGAATCTCATTTCTGCAGATACAACCTTGCTGCTATGGCGGTCCAAGAGTGTCCAGCTTTCCGATCCGTATAGTAGTACTGGGAGAAAAACTGATTTGAATAGCAGAATCTTCTCTTTTCTGCTCAACTCCTGCTTTCCAATGAGTGTTATGGATATTTGGTAGTCTATTCCATTGGCCTTTTGGACTCTATTCATGACCTCCTGGTCTATTCTTCCATCTCTGCCAATCATTGCTCCCAGGTAGCAGTAGGTATTGCTTTGCTCAAGGATCTCTCCATTGGAAGTGATTCTAAGATCCTCGTTCCTTCGCCCAACACTCATGGCCTTGGTTTTGGAGGGATTCATCAGCAGAGTTGCAGTCCTTCTTGCCACTCATTCACAGCGACCTGGAGCAATTCAGCAGTATCCGCAACCAATACCACATCATCTGTGCACAACAATGCCTCTGTCAACACTGAGGTCATATTTCAGTATCCCACTATTGTTCTCCTTTTACAAAATTTCCAAATGGCATCCATGAAAATTATGAATAATAGGGGGCTCAGGCTATTGCCCTGTTTAACTCCTCTAAAGAAATGGAATGGCCTAGACTCAGTGCCGGCTAGCCCAATTACTCCCTTTGGGTCTTGGTGAATTGACTTAATTGCACTAATAAGACTTTGTGCGATTCTCCTATCTTCCAATGCATCCCATATTTCCTGTCTAGGAACATGGTCAAAAGCCGCCCGTAAATCTAGGTATATTGCTTTTCCTCTATCCCATGCCTTCTCTATAATCATTCTCAGAGAGAAGATATGATCTGGTGTCTGCCTGCCGGGCCTAAAACCTGCCTGTTCCTCTTCCAGATCTTCTTCCACCAAGTTCCTTAATGTTTGTTCCAGGATTCTAGTGTATACTTTGTATACCACCCATGAAAGACATATGGGGCAGTAATTATCGCATACATTTGGCTTCCCTTCTTATGGATTGGGATAATGATATTGTTTTCCCATTCTATGGGTATTCTTTTGAGATCCCAAACCTTTTGGAATAGTGTTTGGAGACACTCGACTAACTCATTTTCTCCATATTTTATAAATTCGGGTGCAATCCCATCTGGCCCAGCTGCTTTTCCATCTTTACTTTAGCAATGGCTGCTTCGACTTCCTCATCTTCTATGGTGTCATCCATGTTGGAAACTTCTGTTCAGTTCTTCTACATCTTCTATGACAATCTCGAAAATTTTGCCGCCTTTCTTCCATTCTGAATTTTTCTTGGAAGTATAATGAAAATTCAGTAAATTTTATTATAACTAAACTTTTTGAGGAACATGAAGATGAGTTAAAATTTGGTAATGATTAGTAGTTCATTAGCTTTTGTGGTTAGTGATATTAATAAAATAAGGGCTCCTCTTTACAGATAAAAATAATCTTTTATCTCATTGTACTGTTGCTGTTTTTACTTCATTTTGTATTTGTACATTTTGTTTTCTCTTGGCTGCATTTTGACCATAACAAATATTTTCTTTTTTTCTGGGAAGTTGTCTATTTATTTTAGTTGTTTGGCAATAATAACTTCCAGTTGTTAACAATTGAGTATATTTTACTATCAACGTTACATGTTAACAAGTTAGTTGACGTTTCGTGACATGCCAGAAACCCAATTATTGGTCAAAAGGAGGATGTTGCTCTAGATGATACATTTTAGAACATGAATTAGAAATTTGACGATGGAGCACATTATTATTATTATTATTATTAAATTTAAGCCTTGCATCCACAAGAGTATTGGAATTGCAGTTCTGAAGATGGGAATAAATGTCCCGAAACGTCAACTAACTTGTTAACATGTAACGTTGATAGTAAAATATACTCAATTGTTAACAACTGGAAGTTATTATTGCCTAAACAACTAAAACAAATATTTTGTTCCTGTGGAATTTTCAAGAACATCCAAATCTTATTAATGTCAAATTGTTAATTCATTGTAAAATTAAGATTAAGTATTAAGAAGTATACTTTCAAAACTCACAAAAGATGCTTAAAAATATTTTAACTTTTTTTCCACTGGTGTGATCAAGGAATTAAATAGCCTTATCCTAAAACCTTACTTATAACATGAATCATCTTACTAAAAACCTGTGTAAATCTGCCCAGTAATTTTTGTAGTTAGCAGTTACAAATGGGCAATGAAAAATGGGCTGTCATTTGGTATTATGTTAGTTTATTTAAAATTAATAGATTAAATTTAATTAATATTAATTATTTACAGAATTATTGGATTTAGCGAATGCATACTGTGAAGACACCTTGAAGCGACTTTGTGAGAGAGTAATGAGACAAGGAATTGATGTTGAAAATGCAGCATTACTTTATTATAATGCAATAACATTTCATGCCAAGGTGAACTTATTAATTTTTTTATACTAAAATTAGTTTTTAAGATTAGAATTTTTAATTTTACAATGCTTTATGAACAAGGTCAGTATTTTTAAATTTGTTAACACCTTCAAATTCATCCTCTCTCATTTCTTATTCTTAATTGATGTCCGCCATGGACAATAATATTTTAGCAAATGTTGTTAATTTCAAATTTGTTTTTTCAATAAATTATTTATTCATTCTGTCGGCATCATTATTTAAATAAATTTATGTGTGAACATAGCTGTCAGGGGAAATGTATGTGCTTGAGCCAAGAATTTACCTGGTACCGAACTCTAAATTGACCAGTTGCTTTAAACAAGAAAAAAATATTAATGATTAAGTAGAGATAAATTTCAAACCTTTACAATCCTCTAATGAGTCATGGTCTCTAAAATCAACCTCCACCTGTTGTTGCGTTTGTGTGCTACCACCTTCCATTTCCAGGTACTCAATATTATCATGGCATCTCGGACCACTCAATCTTGCCATCGTACTTGAGGTCTTTCTGCCATCCTTGTCCCATCTGTCTTTCCTGATAACATCTTTTTGGGATCTCTAGCTGAGACATTTTTGACCCATATTTTGTCCTTTAGAGCCGCCTACTTATATGAGGTGTGACCATAAAGTAATGAGATGGACACTGCAACAGAAGTACGCATGCGCCAAATGCCAGCTACCTATAGCTGTTTAGCTTGAGTCTTCTTATTTCAATGCAGTACCTCTCGCTTCTGTAAAGAAGTCCATGCAGCTGTAGCCTTTGTTTACATTATTATTTATTTTTTCTCATTGCACTGTTAATATTAAAGGGAGACATTTTAATCTATTAGATCAATTTTATCTGATTACTTAAGTATTTTTGGTTTCCTGTATTTGATTGAAGTTAATACAGAAAAAATGGATCTATAAATAATTTTAGGATTCAATGCTACCAAATTTAGAGGTGATCTTGTCATTAAGTTGCGTGCATCCTGCATTGTAGCAAGAACTATGTGAAGGAGGCCAATAGTCATTCTCTTTACTCTAACAGTTATCATTGGTATAAATTCAGCCCATAGAGCACATTGTGATATTGTGTACTCTGATACAGACAGGTACAGCAATATTGGATTCGGTCAAATTATCAGTGACTCTTGTCATAATAGTCCAGTAAACATGAGATTAGTATTTAGCTGCAAGTGAGAGGAAGACAAAATTTACCTACGTTGTGTGGCATAGGAGGAGATAGAAGAATTCAGAAGTGATACTTTAATAAGTGCTGATTCTTGGAACAATTATAGAACTGGCAGAAGGCAAAAATGTTTGAAAGTTCTGATCAAAAAATTGTGTCAACTCTAACAACTCTAAAGAAAGCACATAAAAACAATTGGAATGCCGTTTGAGCTACATTTCAACAAGTTCAGGGGATGCCTTCATAGGATAAAGGGCAAAGGTTGAGATGTTCTAAATATCAAAGCATGAAGAATGTGCAATATTCGAAACACAAATGTGAAAAATTAGTTTCAGAAATATTTTTTTTAGAACACTTATATATGGAGTATCATAGCGTCACAATAATATTAGTTACAATTAATTACTTTTTACTTTAATTTTTAAGATTATTTTAATTATATTACCACTGATTATTTTAAGTTTTTTTTTTCCTTTTCCCCTTCCCTTCAACATGGCCTTATCTGGCATATAGAGAAATTATGTGATTATGTAATGCAAATGAAAATGTTTTTGACTTAAGAATTTAATTAATTTTAATTGGATGTAATTGTTAATTTCTCTCTGAAGTGTAAATTGAAATTTAATTTTTAAGAAAAAATGTCTCACAACAGATATTTCATTCATAAACTACATCAAGCTTCTTATGTAATAAATCACATTTACCTTTTTTCCACATAAAAAATTTTAAAAAAGTTTACAAATACCAGTTGCTACAAGATCATGGTGACACCTCAACATGTACGTGCCTTGTTGGTTGGTTGGTCCTTACTATATTGTTCTTTGAAAAAATATTTTTTGACTAATTTTGAAATACGTGCTACGTGCACTATGTTTGTAACCAGAGCTTGAAGCTGAAAAAATCTTTTATTTTTAAAAAGTTTTGGTAACATCGGAATTTTTATTGTCAATAGTTTTAGTTCTTTTGGAGCTAGAACTTTTTTCCTTGCAACTTTTCAAGTAAAGGTTTTACAGAACTTTTATTTTTAGAAAACTTTTAGTTAAAAGTTCGATTTATCTAAAAAGTGACTTTTATTCATACCTACTTAAGCAAACGACAGATTAGAATCATATGTAATTCATTTAAGGCAAATTATAACTCTATTTCAATGGAACTTTTTTATGAACTTGAATAAATACAGTTAAACTTTTTCTTAAAAAGTTTCAGAGAAACTGTTAAAATGAAACTTTCTAAAAAAAATTAAATAAAAGTTTAATCCACTCATTATAACTAAACAATTTTTTCTTAAATTCATAATGTGAGGATATTTCTTCAATGTCTAATTATCAAAAACAATTTAATGCCATAATAATAGATATACAATGTTATACCACATTAATCACAAATATTTTAAGTTCTTTATATAGCCTACTTATTGAAATATTCACATTAATAATGTATTGGAAGATTAAGAAAGAAGAAATAATCATTAGAAGAAAAGCAATAGTGAACTCCAAAAATGTCTTTAAAAAAACTTTGTTTTCATTTTATATTTATCTTGTCTGATTAACTACTAAGTTCTTATTTTTATTTACTGTCACAGTGAACCATCATTTACCAGTGTTGAAAGAAAGGAAACAGCATTATTATATTGGAAGTGTCAAAAAATGGGTTGATTTGCTGACCTGCCTGGTAAACTTAGTCGGGAAGTAGATTCGGTGGTCCCCTGACGAGCTTCTCATGAACCTCCTGTGCCCAGCTCATTATATTAGAAAGGGGTAATTAGTAAATCTACATATGAACCTCGATGTTTTAAAAATATTAATGATTTTTACTAGAAGTGATGTATTAAATTTGTAATACATGGGTGCATTAACACCTCTGTTAATTCATTCTATTATTACTGGTAATTAATATTATTAATAATTATATTGCCCTTTATTTTTTATCTTTCAAACTTAAAAAGTAGGATTTATGTTTATTTAATTGAAATTATTTTGTGGAAGATGGAACCCTAGCGTAGTTTTTATTGTGCTAGATATTCACTTTGTCAAATACTGTTCATTGTTTAAACTGATAGGTCGTAATTAACTGACACAATGGTCTTCTCGTCATCTTGCTTACTTCTTTTGATTTTGTTTATTTGGAATTGAAATCGAGAATCTGAACACTACTTGGTGATTCCCTGTGACCTGCTCCCAAATAAATTCATATCCTTTGGAAATTTTGACACAGATTTATTGGCTCATATGAGGAGGAAACTGCTAAGCAATTAGTGCATTCTTTGTGGCTCTTTCTAGTTTGCAGGGAGCAGGTGATGCCTTGTCTGCTTTTTCTAACTTCTATTCCTGCCATTTTGAGAGAATAGTTGCAAAGGAAATTTTTATTCTGTCTTAGATTAACGTCTTCCTGAATTTCATCATAATGATTGAATCCAGATTCTTCTGCCCATCCCACTTCCCTTTTCCAGTGTTATTTGTCTTCTGTCATTCTTATCTTGGATGTTTCACAACATTGAAGAGTGTGAAGATGAATCAATTTGTTGCATTCTTCATTTTCAGAATTGGTTGCTTCTTGGCATTTGTTATAAAAATTTTATTTTTCTTAATTTTGTTGAGAAATTTTGACCATGTGACGTCTAGCAGTCCAATATACTTCACCTCCAATCCTATGTAATCCAAAACAGGATTTGTCAACACAGTGGACATGTTGCTGAATCGACAACTCCAGTATGGTATAGTCAATCATGCAGACCTGGTTTCCAAAATTTAATCCAGGACACGAATTTGATTGTTATCACAATTCCAATTCCAAAGTTTATTTGGGAACCAATTATGCTTGATATGCATTTCCCCATCCTTTAGGTTGTCCACATCATTCATTTTTAACTAAGTTGCTAGGTCCTATTATTGATTTGTCCTGTAATGAACATTGTTAACATTTAATCCTTATCGCATACATTCTAACTGAATAATTCCTTAAACAACAAGTTAAATAGCATTGTTTCATATTATTTGAAATTAGAAATCCTTTAGGAAAATTAAATAGCACATAATGATGACATTAATGGTTGTTGAAAAATTGGGGACGTGTGATTTATTTGTCTCTGTATACACATTGTTTTCTTAACATGTTGGTTTTTTTTAAAATTATTTGTTTCAGGCTGGATGAGTATGTTTTTCTAATTTGGATCTTGTGTAGTATAGTCCCTTGGTCATCAAACAGGATGATGATTCTGGTGGCCAGTCTGTGTAATGATTTTAAAGGAATATTCTACTTCATTTCATGCAAGTAGTCTACTTTTTGATTTTTCAAACTGATAATGTTTCATTACAAACGTTTTCCTTTTGTTCATTATATATATTAATTTCAATTTATAAGTAAAAGTCGAATTTATGAAAAAAGGTTCATATTTAGTTTTGGATATCTCCATATCTTATGGAAATTACTTTCTAATGATATGAAGGCGGCCCAATATTATAAGTTAACATAATAAAGCTTAACATTATACTGCCTGCCTTTCTGCTATTGGCTAAAGTCCCTGAGGTTTACTAAATCAATAGCTGTTTCAAATATTAACTGGTTCATGGGAGGGGATATCTTTTCAATAATTAGTGCAAGGTAATCCGGACAGGGTTAAAGGAGACCTGAAGAATCGGAATACCGGGATTAGTCATATGATAAAGTAAAAAAAAAAAAAAATAAATAAATTAAGAGAATTTTACAAATTAGAGGAGACAAGCATGAATTCGATGTTATGATTAAGAATTATTATTGGTTACAAAAAGTTTTCTTAATATCATATACATATAACATATATTTTAATAATAATTTTTTCTAATTATATTCTTATAACTTTTTATTAGGAAACTATTTCTTTGCCGTTAAATAAGGCAAGTGGTTGTATATATTTTTATGCCAAAAAAGGATGTTTTGGCGTTAAATAAGTTTAGAAGTCAATATAACAGATGATGTTTCTTTTCTTTTTTTTTTTTTTCAGTATCAAAGAGGTTACTTTGATAAGCTTATCTATGCGTCAGAGATAGTTTGATTTTTGTTAAATTTCTCATGAATATTTGTCTTAAAAATTTGATTAATTAAGATTTTAATTAATGTATTTTTATATTAATTAAATAAATAAATAATAATAAATTTTATTTGTTTTTGAGTGGACTCATACAAATGGAGTTAAGTTTATATACATGAAATCAAATTAAATACATTAATAGTAAGAACCAGTAAAATAAAACAATAATGTTTGATACAATTATAAACTATACAAACTATCTTGAATAAACTAAAATATAGTGTTAAATCCTAATATTATTATTTACATATAATCTTAACCTTATACTTATTGATAAAACAATCTATTCTTGAATAAACATACAAAATTCCTTGTTTTTAAATAATCTTCGACATACCAGTATAAATCATTGAGTTCATATTTGTTTTCTATGTTTAATAATTTTACTATTTGCTCTTTATTGTCAGAATTACCATCAATATATTTACTTAAATACTTACTTCTAAAAGCTTCATATGTAGGACATTGCAGCAAAAAATGGTATAAATCTTCTGGTTCACGTGTATTACAAATGGGGCATTCAGCATTCCTATCTGGAAAACTATTTTGAAAACCGTAAGAAGTAACTTTTAAGTTCTATGGTCGTCACAGTCTTAGTTGGCTAATCATTCTATGCTTTTATATTAACTATATTTTAATTATTAATATACAATTTTGAGTTGTTTTTTTTTATAAGACCTACAGAATTGTGAATTAGAGTACCTATTTAAAATGTTAAATGTTTCAATTATGCAAAATGATTATTAATAAAGATCAGTTTATACAAATTTAGTCAGGAGTCAAACATTTTTTCTTTATAATAAATAAGACTAACAACAGGAGTTCTGATTTCAAGCAAAATTTTTTTCTGTAATACTGCATTGAAAAATATTGGACTCATGTCCTGTCGTTCGTTCCAATGGGCCCTAGGAGTTGAGAAAATTTTCTAATTTAATTTCAAACAAAATTTATTTTATTTATTTTTGCCTGAATTTTTAGGTTATTGTACACCAATCGATTTTTTTTTTATTATTATAATCATGTAAATGTTGTATCATGAATAACAAAAAACTAATTCAGTAAAGTAGACTAAGTAAATTGTTATTATGAAAAAGGAAGTTAGATTCATTTTTAGTGTCTTTTGAAACTCTCAAATACAAATTTTTATAGAAATAAATTATTGCGAAGTTCAATACTTGATTTTCTTTGAGGATTTTTTCTACTTTTATTAGTGTTCTCGTCCATAAATGCCTTTTTCAAGCCTTCCTTTTGTTTTTTTTTTTTTCTTCAACAATTGTCAATAAACATTATATAAGCTCTTATAGTGCACACTACTTTTCTTTTTTGACATTTATAAACACACTACCATCTATCTATAAACACGTAAATCACTGTATTTACTTGCTTTGTTGGCTTTTTGACAAGTAGCAGAAGGCTTTCAGCATCATGGCAACAACTTGAAATGAAAGAAGACAGACCACAAATCTGTGAGGAAGCTTGTCAACAAAACTGATAGTTTCCTTGTGAGGGAAGATTGTTAAAATACCCCAAGTGACAAGGCTTCATTTCTACTTTGTATTCTCAGTTGAAGTAACTGTAGATCTAGCTCTTAAAATTGAGGTTATCTAAACTTTTAATATTTATAAATTATTCCCATTTCACATGGCTTATTGAAGGATGAATATCTGAATTTGTTAAATATTTATTTGAGTAAGAGAAAAACATGTTCAAAATCTTCGGATTTTATGCCAGTCTACTGGTAAAACTTCTTATATGTATTTTTTTTCTGATTCCAGGAACTAGAGGAATTCTGTTTTAGATTTTCTCTTAACCACATGACTGCAGTTGTTCAATCTAAAGGGTTTGCTTCCTTGGATGAAACTACAGTAAAAAATTTTATCTTTAAAGCTGCTAAAGCAGGAGCATTCAAGACTTAAGTTATGTTCATATAATTATTATAATGACTATTTTTATAAAAAAAAAAAATGTACGTGGAAAGTTAACAAATAATCTTATTTTAGTTTTTATAGCGCGTTAGTTGATTTTTTTCATTTCTTCTTGTCCCACTCATGAAATTTATAGCTCTATATGTATATACGTTTATTGATTAAATAGTATTTAGTATATTTGTATAACTATAGTACTTTATTTGTAAGCATGAATGGCTTTAATAGGATAAAAATCAAGTTGAATAGTAATATTTTATTAAATTAATGACATTGTATACATTCCATGAATAGTGAGAATAATAGTTAAGGAATTCTGTTTTTATAAAATAGTTACCATATAATTGTATTTTCGATTTTAAGAATATTCCTTAGGTTCAGGTACGTCGAATATGGCAGGGATATATAAATTGGAAAAGACAACGAGATTGTGATCACTTACTTTTTAAAAAAAATTTAAATTTATTATAATGGTTGCTGATTTTAAGGCAAAGCTTTTTAATGTAGCTTAACATTGTTTAAAAGTGCTATATTTTATATTGTTTAAACAATTATTTTAGCTAAAATTTTACTGTTGAGTTGTTAAACTTAACACTAGTTCCATTTAAATACTTGGTTTTTAATATATCAGTTAAAAAGAAATATTATGTCTTGTTTTATTACTATGTTAAAAATTTTTATGTTTATGAAACATAATGATATCTTATAAAAGTAAAAACTTTTATTTATTTTTGTTATTATTAAAAAAGAAAAAAATATATTTAAATGAAATATCTATTCTTTAGTGATCTGCCAAACATTTATGTTCAATTTTTTTTTTTAATTTCTGAGTTTTTACTATTGAATTCTTGCAAACGATGATATTGTTTAGATAGCGAGAAATTAGGGATAAAATACTAATGATATGTCTAACTAGATGATCTATTTTTTTAATAAAACCGAGGCTTTGTTATGTGTATAATATGTTTTGTTCAGGTTGTCAATTAGACTCGTTATTAAGCTAGATTAATAGGTAAAGGAAAACTGGAATGAAATTCTATCACAGTTTCTTGATTTTTGACATCTTTCCCAATTCGGAAAAAAAAAAAAATTAAATTACACAAATCATACTTATCATGTTTAACCAGATCACTACAAGAATTATTCCTTTAATTTGTTAATTATATTTTTATTTTTTATAAGATCTGAAAATATCCTGAATAACTATTTATAAAGAAATATGACCAAAACTATTTAGATTTTTAATTCAGATCTTTGGATATTTTTAATCCGATCCCTGGAAATGCATTAACTTAAATTAAGTTATAGATTTTATTTTACTGAACATCTCGAGAACTCATTTCTGTTTTGATTTTTATCTATATTCAATTACATTATGTTTTGCTAGATAGTTAAATGTTTTCAATTTTTTTTTATTTTTAATTAATAAAACATTTTTATTGGATTTTTAAATTTTTATTTTACCTGTCAATGCATTAAGAATTATTTACAAGGATGTAGGTATGTTTTAATCAAGACATTTTATATCTATTCAGTTTAATACTTCTTTATCCTTTAACAAGAATTGGGAGTTACAAATATTTAAGAAACATAACTGTTTTTATCAACATATTTTTTTCCATAATTAACTGGGATCAGATTAGCTCAGTGACTAAGGTAATTATTGTGCTCATATACTTCGATCTTGGGTTCGATTCCGGATGTGGCAGGTAATTATTTATTCTGTAACATTAATTTTAAATCAACAGTGAAGAAACCTTGATCCCAGTTTTTTATTTATTTATTTTTATTTTTGTCATATTAATTCTTTCATTCACTGATCCATTGTCTACCAGATAGTCCAACAGCTGAAAAGAAGAAATTTCCTGATTTATTTGAAAAGAATTTTTGGTCACATATATATATAATGTCTGCCCTGAGCATTCAATTTACACTAGTCTGTCAACTCAATACTAGGGTGTTTCAAAATGATGTCCATCGAAAGAGGACACAATTTGGGTTCGTTAGAAAAAAAGTATCTGACTCCATCTTTTGTTGGATGAATTCTCAGATGTTCATCTTTAATTATCCTGCAGTGATTTAGGAGTATAAATTATGTTCATGTTTAGAAATATTATAAATATTCAATAAATCATATTTTATACCCTACCCCTTTGCCCTGTTTAGCGGACTTAATACTGATCTGACTTTGCGAATGGAGAACAATTCGAACTAATAATTTTTAATACCCTCTTTTATTATTGAGTGCTTATATCTGATTTATCTGTTTGATTATCTTCATTAATTTGATCTCACCCTTGAAATAGTATTACTAAAAAAAATGACCGTTTTTCAACTAAATATTTGTGTTATTATTTATTTTTCGATATATTGGGTTGGCCAATAAGTCCTTTTGGTTTTTCTATTTATTTTTATGTCACTATGATCTACTTCTTATCTTCTTCTTTCACTATCTCCTGTGTGCTGCTAACCGTGGAGTAGCTGCCTCTGACCATCTTGTCCAACAGTCCCTGTCCTGTGCAAGCCTTCTTATCTCCGGCATGGTGCTTCTTCTCGCTTATTCCTGTCTCTACAGAACTTTATGAATGGAAAAAAAATCCAAAAGGAAGAGAACATCAAAAACCACTTGATCAGTTTTTTAACAATAAACTCCAGACATTCTATGAACATAGCATTATGCAGTTAGTGGAAAGATGGGAAAAAGCCATATTAATTAATGGTCAATATATTGTAGATTAAAATAAATTTTATGTCTATAATACATTGAGTTTTATTTCACCCTTTAAAACCGAAAGAACGTATAAGCAACCCAATAAAATACAATTACTACTCAAAGTATAGACCATTGTTATCTACTGCTAGCCAATTGCTGGATCCCACACAGATACCATTCTTTGGGATGGCTGTCAAAGAACTCTTGGACTGCAATTTCAACTTCCGCAAAATTATCAAATTTTCTTCCTTGAAGAAAATGGACCATGGGTCTAAATAAGTATCAATCCGATAGTGCAGGTCTGGAATATATGGTGGATGAGGCAGGAGTTCGTACCCATGAACTTCTTTAAAATTTTTTTTGTTCGATTGGAAGTGTGAGGATGAGCATTATCTTGTTGGAATAAAATTCCTTTTCGGTTGATCAAAGCAGGATAACACTCTGACAATTCTGCATACATTCTTTCCAGTTGCTCGCAGTAGAGTTCAAAATCCATAGAGCATCCATCAGGAATAAATTCGTGATGAATAACATCTTCAAAATTCCAAAAAATGCAAAGTACGGATTTTTTTTTTCAGATTGTCCGCTTGCAGCAACCGGAAAAGCAGTTTGACCGCGATCTAGCCATTGCTCACGGGAGTTCGGATTTCGCCAGTAAGCCCACTTTTCACCACAGGTGGCAATTTTCCGGTAAAATCTCATATCAGAGGAGTTTTTCAATAAATTTTCACAAATTTCAAACCTCTTAGCTAATTGCGGAAGAGTAAGTTCGTGAGTGACCTGTCTACTGCTCTTTTTCACTTTTCCTATGGAGAGTATATAGTGACTAACAGTATCGTTCGACACACCAAACTCCCTGAAAAGTTCGCGAGTACTTGTGGACACATTTGACTTATCAGCTTCCTGCAGAACCTCATCAATATCCACTAATTGTCGCCCGTAGTCCTCCCTTTCCAACGTATCTCCACTGCTAAACTTTTTGAACAACGCCGTGTGCTGGTCAAGGACACCTTCCTGTTCATATTCAATAATTTCACGAGTTGCTTCAGTGGCTGTGAATTTTTTTCCCAGTAATGCTTTAAAATTAGGAGAATTTCTTAGGGCACGGTCATGTTTCTTCTTTGAAACAAATAACTAAACTGAGACTTTTTTTGAAGAAGTCGAATGGGATTAAACAAGCTTAGAAAGTGCTCTAAAGGAATTATTAAATATTGAATAGGATTAAAATATTTACAGTCCTTTGAAATCTTGAATTTGATAAAACGGTAATTTTTTTAAAACTCAACATCATTTAAAAAATGTTAAACAAAATTAAATAAAGCTGTTTTATAATTTACTTACATGCTATTTCAGAGGGACAATGATCGTTAAAGTAATAGAAAAACAAGAGATAAGAATTTCAGGTTAAGGTTTGTGAAAATACTTGACTGACCTGGCAACCCTATCCGGTACCTATGTCTTGTAATGTCTCCTGGCTGGCAGCATATTGGACTGTGCACCTTTTGGTTTGTTATTTTCAATATTATTTATTAACAACCATGTATATTTAAATTCGTCAATTAATTAACAACAATGGAATAATATTGTAATTTTCGTCTAATTTTTGTTCGGCCATTAAGCTATCTTTTTATTTTTTTTTCGGCTAAGAGTGAAAATTTAATAATAAAGAAATATTTATTTAAATTCTTAAAAATATTTTGAATAGTATTCTATTTATCATAAGATACCATTATCATTAATGTAAACTACATAAAGTGGATAGATAGTTTTATCAGAGCAAAGACCCCACTGAACGTCGGCTTGTACAAATAAAAAGTTATTGACTCATTTCCTGCTCATCTATTATCATCCATGATAGCAGATATTAATATTTTTCAAAGCCATTGTTAGACTACTTAGGAGGATAATGAGTTGCTGATATGACGTAAACAAATAAATCTAGTTAAATAATAAAATATTTATTATAGTATTCTTTCGTACGTGATACTTTTATCTGCTACTTTTGTAACTGAGACATAATAGAAGGACCAATTGTCACTTATAAAATTGTTGTAACCAATTTTATTTCCTTCTTTATTTCTCTGTTCACCAAATAGGTGTTTTTTTCTTCAAGGTGTATGATTCTCAACAAAGTACTGGCATATTACTGATTTTTTTTTCTTTAACCAACCCTCTCCTACCTTTGTTTTTTTTTTCACAGTAACTTCAGTAATCTGGAGTCAGTGGCGGATCCAGGAATTTTCCGAAGTTAGGGGAGAGGAAGAGTGCACTTGAGAAAAAGTGAGTTCTATACGCCAAAGGTGTACATGTTATAAAATAAAAAAATCGAATGAAAATTTTTGAATTGCATGTAAAATCAGATTATGCCTGAAGAGGCAAAAATTTGGATAAATTTGAAATAAAGTTATTATTTATCGAGACTGAAAAAGACCTTTTCCTACTAATACGTATTATAGTCTCTTTCCCAAGTTCATCTTTTATGAATAATTAATTAAGGTGGAAAACGTGATCTCAGTCATATCACCTCCTTGCACTAGCGGATCCAGGATCTAATTTTGGGGGGCTTTAGCCCGAAAGCTATTTTCTTCATAAAAATAACGATAATTACTTTGGAAAAAAAGAAAGAAACTAACTACCTGTATGAAATGGTGTTTAAGTGATTCCTAAAGCCCTTTTAAATGTAATTACACAAACAATAATACTTTAAGAGATACTTTTTAAATATTTTTTTCGATAAAACATGGCTATATTTTATCATTTTGGGGGGGCTTCAGCCCGAAAGCCCCCCCCCTCCCCGTAAATCCGCCCGTGGCCAAAGGTGTATATGTTATAAAATAAAAAAGTGAACGAAAATATTTGAATTACATGTAAAATCAGATTATCCCTGAAGATGCCTGAAGAGGCGAAAATTTGGATAAATTTGAATTAAAGTTATTATTTATCGAGACTGACAAAGGCCTTTTTCTACTAATACGTATTATAGTCTCTTTCAAAAGATCGTCTTTTATGAATAATTAATTAAGGTGTAAAACGTGATCTCAGTCATATCACCTCCTTGCACAACCTCTGACTACGAAACAGTACTTTCCCTAAATAGTACTTAACTCAAGACCCTTCATGGGTTGTAATGGTACAGGTTTTTACATGTATACATATATATATATATATATTTACAAAATTTCTTTAATCGACCTTTGAGTATTATATTTTAACATAATTATTTAAATTGGGAGTTAGGTCACTTAATATATAGATATATTTTTTGTATAACATATTTCTTTTATTTCTAAGTTTGAAATTGAGCTGTGTGTTCTCAATATAATATTCTCTAGCGGTTTTATGAAATGTTGTGAAGAAGTTGTTGGGAATGAAAAAGTCGATTGAAGGAATTTTGTAAAAATATAGAATTAAGAGAAAAATTATTGTTTCCTAGAATTGCGACTGACTTATTTATTGTACATATATATATGTATATATAACTCCCACTGCTATCCCACTCCCATATCTATCCCTCTCTCTCTCTCTCTCTCTCTCTATATATATATATATATATTGTAACATATTTTATTAGGGCCTTTATAAATTGTAATTGTTAATAGAACTCATGTTCACGTCTTGTTCTTTTATTGAACTGTGTAAAAAGGAGCATTTATATGTAATATATTTATAAATTTAATTTATTTCTAGATATTGTATTAATTTTAGTTGTGATTTAATTTGAAATTAAAAACAAACAATAATAACATTTAACTAGTGATAAGGATTAAAAGGTACAATGTATTAGAGCTAACGGACGGGAGGTCCTTCTCTGTCAAAGGTTGAATTGTAAATGATTAGTGGTATAGTGTTTTGGAGGTTGCGCGTGGCGCCCTCTAGGCGTTGTTCTAATGAACTATTTAATTAATTTATGCAAGTCATTGTTTTTTCTAATAATGATTAATAATTTTAGTAGCGCAACCTGTTAATTTCCTAGTGAACTATGAATTTCATTTTGAAGCTATTTATTATTTCTTTTTGTAATTACTGATTTTGTAAATAACTAATGTTTGTAATATTTTTAAAATAAGTATTCATGTACTATAATTAAATAAAAATAAAAGGAGTTTGGACTTAGAGATCTCAGGGCCTAATTAAAATAATTGTTACTAGTGTAGCCTCTCACCAACCTGAAAACAGGTCTGAGGGCTGATTATTAGTTTAAATACTGGCCTGGTTCCTAGGGCAGGCACTCTCTCCCGAGTCACTACCTTCTCACATAGGCTCCTGGTATCTCTCTGTCTGACAGTTTGAAACCAGACCAATGTGTTATTTTTTGGTTTTACCTTCCTCCTTCTCTCTTCTCTCCTAACCTACCTCCTCTCTCCTTTCGTAGGAATAACTTGGTTGGCCCTTGTTTTCCTACAGTCCCCCTTGCATCTTCCAGGTTGTCCCTGGGAGTGTAGGGTTACCTATCCTCGCAATGTCAGGGGATTGCCTCCTCGGTTGCAGAGCCCTGGATGTGTAGGGGTTGTCCCCCTATCATTCTTGGCGGTCTTACCTTATCCTATCCTCGCAACGTCAGGGGATTGCCTCCTCGGTTGCAGAGCCCTGGATGTGTAGGGGTTGTCCCCCTATCATTCTTGGCGGTCTTATCCTATCCTCGCAACGTCAGGGGATTGCCTCCTCGGTTGCAGAGCCCTGGATGTGTAGGGGTTGTCCCCCTATCATTCTTGGCGGTCTTACCTTATCCTATCCTCGCAACGTCAGGGGATTGCCTCCTCGGTTGCAGAGCCCTGGATGTGTAGGGGTTGTCCCCCTATCATTCTTGGCGGTCTTATCCTATCCTCGCAACGTCAGGGGATTGCCTCCTCGGTTGCAGAGCCCTGGATGTGTAGGGGTTGTCCCCCTATCATTCTTGGCGGTCTTACTTATCCTATCCTCGCAACGTCAGGGGATTGCCTCCTCGGTTGCAGAGCCCTGGATGTGTAGGGGTTGTCCCCCTATCATTCTTGGCGGTCTTACCTTATCCTATCCTCGCAACGTCAGGGGATTGCCTCCTCGGTTGCAGAGCCCTGGATGTGTAGGGGTTGTCCCCTATCATTCTTGGCGGTCTTATCCTATCCTCGCAACGTCAGGGGATTGCCTCCTCGGTTGCAGAGCCCTGGATGTGTAGGGGTTGTCCCCCTATCATTCTTGGCGGTCTTACCTTATCCTATCCTCGCAACGTCAGGGGATTGCCTCCTCGGTTGCAGAGCCCTGGATGTGTAGGGGTTGTCCCCTTATCATTCTTGGCGGTCTTACCTTATCCTATCCTCGCAATGTCAGGGGATTGCCTCCTCGGTTGCAGAGCCCTGGATGTGTAGGGGTTGTCCCCCTATCATTCTTGGCGGTCTTACCTTATATACCTTATCCTTCTCATCCTATCTAAGCTTGTACACCCCATTCTTACAAACTTAAATAGATACACGAATACCAGGTTAATTGGCTAACAGAAAGATTAAAGGTTAGAAGGACAGATTTCAGATTTTAAAGGATAAAATTCGGCAATAACAGACAGACAGACAGAGAGAGATAAATAAAAAATATTTTTAAAAAATAAAAATATTACAATATATATATATATATATATATATATATATATATATATATATATATATATATATATATATATATATTTATATATATCGAACCCGGGAACTGGAGCATTGGAAGATCAGTGCCCCACCAAATATTTTTAAAGAGCCTTCATGGACTGTAATGGTACAGGTTTTTACATATATATATATATATATATATATATATATATATATATATATATTTACAAAATTTCTTTAATCGACCTTTGAATATTATATTTTAACATAATTATTTAAATTGGGAGTTAGGTCACTTAATATATAGATATATTTTTTGTATAACATATTTCTTTTATTTCTAAGTTTGAAATTGAGCTGTGTGTTCTCAATATAATATTCTCTAGCGGTTTTATGAAATGTGTGAAGAAGTTGTTGGGAATGAAAAAGTCGATTGAAGGAATTTTGTAAAAATATAGAATTAAGAGAAAAATTATTGTTTCCTAGAATTGCGACTGACTTATTTATTGGCTTCAATTGTTGTTTCTTATTACTGTTTAAAAAAAAAAATTAGTTATGTGGCCATCTTTGAGGAGATAAAATATAAAAACGGGAATGATAATAGCAAAACAGCGAAAGATTATTCGAAATTAACGAAAAAGCTGTCACATTTGGAACCGCATAGGTTATTTCTTCTAAAATGTAGAAAATACAATATGTTTTTACCACACATTTTAGATAGCACTAACAACATAGGAACATATATAAGCTTATTCCTGACAGTCCCAAGTTCATAAAACCACTAGAGAATATTATATTGAAAACACTGAGTTCAATTTTAAACTTAAAAATAACAGAAATTTGTTAAAAGAAAAAAGAAGCTTAAGTGACCTAATTGCCAATTTAAATAATTATGTTAATATGTATATATATTTCTAAGAAAATTACTAGTTGCTCAAATTGGATAATCTTAATTTACATGTATTCTGTAGTTCAGATTGTATTATTTTTTATCAACATGATATAAACGGAGCGGAACCACAGTTCAGACAAATATTTAATTTCATTAAAAATCTATATTATACATTGTTCCTTATTGCCAATTTATAATGTTATATAATTATTCTTATTGCCAAATTCTAACCATAATAAGGGAAAAACAATTCTGAAATTAAGAAGTGTGATGTCTTCGTTACGGTACGTCCCACTTTGTATATGTAAAATAAAGTATTACACAGTCACTAAAAACTTTTTTAGAGAGATTTTTATTGAAAAGTGAAGTGTATTATTAATCATTATTATTATCTTTATTATTCTCGCTTTTGCGTATTCAAAGCTGAAGGTGGGAGACAAGCCCAACCACCTGCAGTTATAATTTTTTTAGATATTTAAGAACTTTCTAGTAATCCTGGCTGTATCCAAGAGAGCTGCTTGCTATGCCCATTATAATAATAATTATTATTAATTGTATTAATCATCCGGCCAGTTCTTAACTAGGTACCCAAACATGGACCTTACCAAAAAATTACGAAAAAGACCTTTTGGTCTTTGAAAAGAAAATCCTTAGAAAAATATTTGGTGGGGCACTGATCTTCCAATGCTCCAGTTCCCGGGTTCGATATATATATATATATATATATATATATATATATATATATAGAGAGAGAGAGAGAGAGGGATAGATATGGGAGTGGGATAGC